GGGACATTAAAGCCCAGCCAGTGCCACCCCCAGGCCGTCACCAGGTGCAGGGCAGGGCTCTGAGCTGTCCCCTTTTGGGACAAACGCCAACCCAGGTGGGGCAGCTCCCCCCGTGCCCACCTGGCAGGGGCTGCTGGAGGTTCCAGGGCAGGTTTAGGGGGTGGTTCCTACCAAAGCTGCTCAGCCCTGGGGTTACAGCACACACAGGTGACAAAAGCAGCCAGAACTGGGCACAGAAAGGGACAAACCCACGGGGATGGAGGCACTGCTGCTGCCCAGCTGGGTTATGGACTCGCTTCTTTGGGGAACAGAAAGGAATCCTGGGGGTCAGGGACACTGCTGTGGGGTGTCACTGGGCTGGCCTTGGGGACGAGGCTCCATCCTGCCCAAAATCTGCCACAGCTGCACCCCCTGAGCCCTCCCTGGGGTCCCAGGAGCTGAGCAAAACAAAACCAAAAACCCCACAGTGAGCACAGGACAGAGCACTGATCCTCACAGCTGGAATGGNTCCCTCCCCTCACTGCCTTCAGCTCTGCCCACACCACCCTCCAGCCCAAAATGATTTTTCCCCTCTAATGAAGCTGTTCCCAGCTCAGTGTCCAGTTAAAAACAGCCACGAGGCCACAGCTGGGGCAGTGGGATGCTAGGGAATTTGGGGTTTATTTGTTATCCCACAAAACCTGGGAATAACACACAGGGCAGCAAATGTGAACAGGGAGAGGCACCTTTAGCCTCTGAATACTTCAAAAAGCCCTTAAAATGAAGCTCTGAAGCTCATGCACGATATTCAGATACTGGTGTCTGACAAAAGGCCAGATAATGGTGATTTCTAGAAGGGATGAGAGAAAGAGGCAGCACAAAAATCTCCCTCCAGTCCCACAGAAGGGATGAGAGCTCACACTTACCCCAAATTCAGCCCGGGGGAAAAGGAGCCACACTCAGCCAAGGTGACACTGCCAGCCAGGTGCCATGGCCTTAACAGAGGGAGAGACGAGGGAAAATTAAAATTAAATGGAAATTAAAAGGTCTGAGGGTTGAGAAAACGGCGGAAGAAACACAAAGATCTAAGAAAGGATCTGTCAGTGGTTTTGCCACTGAGCACAGCCCCAGCCCCAGGAGCAGGAAAATTCCTTTTCATTTCTCGGGGAGGAGAGGGAGGAACCCCTGAGCTCCCGCAGGCCCAAAGGGGGCAGAGGGAGCCAGGAAAGGCAGGGAGGGCACAGCTCCCACAGGGACCGGGGCATTGAGGGGCTCTGAACCCAGAAAGGGAAACCCCAAACCCCCCTCCAACCCCACCCGGGGAATTGGTGCTTCCCCACTTGGAAGAATTGGTGTTTTTTACATCAAATGGTTGGGGAGGGACTTTAAAAGCTCCTTTTCAGCTGAATGGGAACTTCTGTGTGAGAATCAACTCTGGTTTGCCCAAATTAGTGAAGGTGAGACAACCCTCCCCTCCCCATAAACCCCAGAATTAAAAAAATTAAAGTTGGGCATTTGGGCAATTTTTATCTTGAATTTAGAAAAAAGATCAAGACTTTAAAATGAATTAATTGAATGAATTAATTACATTCAAACCCCTTTAAGTTCAGGCACCCAATTCAGGCTGGGCAGAGGTCACCTCTCACGCCCAACACTCAATCACCCTTTCCACAGCCAGGCAACACAAAAGTGCCTTTTTGGGGGGGAAAAATCTTCCCAGTAGCTGTGAAACTGCATTTCTGTGTTTGCTATCTCCAGGAAAGAAGTAAATAAATGTGGAGGGACAAAGAAATAAACTTGCAATTGGTTTTGGTGGACTCAGGTGGGATGAGGAGCAGGACCAAAGAAGGGCAGACTGCAGGCATCAGCTTTTTTTTTTTTTTTTTTTTTTTTTGTAGTTTTTATTTGAACACAGTATTCTGACAGAATGCAAAGTCAAAATCCTCAGTTAGTATCAGTATTTACACCAGTGAGAATGGGGATAAAGGTGGAGTCGATGTTTCACTCGGTAAAAAGATTTTTTGTTTTTTTCTTTTTTTAACAAGATAGAAGGCCCCCAAAAGTAGGGAATGCTGGGGAAGGATGGCCATGGAGGGGCTGAGAACAACTATCAAAACAGCCTGGTGGTGAAGGACGTGGGGTTCGAAGGCTCCATAGAAAAGTGTGAAAAGAAAACGCCACTCGGGAAGCTGACGGGCGGGATGCACTATTGTCACCTGTACGAATGGTGCAGCACGAGAGAGATGGGACAGCTCCTGTGACACTGGGGACAGCCAGGGG